CCCTGCCCCATCCTTCCCTCCAGCGACCCGCCCTGCCCGGCTCCACCCTGCCTGTCCCCGTCCTGCCCGCAGCCCGCTCCCCGCACGTCCCTGGCCGTCCCCGTCCTGCCCGCAGCCCGCGCACGTAGTTCCCGGCGGGGTGATGTGAGGACAGGCGCCCGGCGGCGTTGGCCATTTCTCTGGCAGCAGCCGGGGAGCCCAGGCTGCAGCGCTCGTCTGCAGAAAGAGCTTTTCTTGTGAGGGTTTATTTTTAGATTTGGGAGGGTGTTTTTTTTTTTTTTTGAGGAAACGAGGCATGTTTCATGTTTCTTTAGGGAAAGCTGCTCTTCTGAAGCATAGGGTTGGAAAAAATAAACCTGCTGGCTTGGCTGCTTGCAGACACACTTAGAAGAACCCTGGCAGACTCCGTCTGCTGTGCAGAGCCTTGCCTGGTGTGGCCCCGGTGTGACAGGCAGTTCAGATCCAGGCTTGCAGGCACGAATTGTGTTTTCCTCTCATTGTTTTTCAGTGGAAATTCTTAGAAGTCTTTCTCCAAGGTGTTAATCTTTTTACTCCTTCCAGCCCCTGAATTGTGACATGATTAAATCGTTCACCTCGTGTTTTAGGTGAAAATCCTCTGTGAGTGCAGTACCAGCATTTTTTATCTATTACATTTAGCATGTTTGCCTGCACATCTCTGGAGTGTAAACACAGCTTTACATCTTTGTGACACTGTTGAATAAGGATCATCCCACATTACTTAACTCGGTAACAAAACCCATTGACTTAGTATACATGCTGTCACCCAATGAGTAGAATTCCTTCTAGGGCTTGAGGCCATGCTAATGGTGTGGTGTTGCCTTTTATATTAAAACCTTTTTCGTGCAGTATATAAACACTCTGTGTAACAGCAGTAGGCTCAAGAGGCTTGGTCCACACTTCTAAATCCCAGTCTTCAAGTTAGTTGGTGTGCTTAAAGCCTGGAAGAGTCTGGATGCCTAGTTGAGACTGAGCTGGCATGTGAGTAATAACCCATCAGCCTAGATAGCTTTTGGGGCCACTGCCAAGCACTGTGAGAGCTTTGTGAAGTTTGGATATCCTTTTGCAGAGAAGTCAAACACACATGCATGCACAAATATTCTGTGATGCTTGCAATTAGAAAAAAATCATTATGATTACATTTGTCTTCATGTTACTCAGAGTGCATTTTAAATACCGAGCACCTATGTAGTATCAGAGCTTTCTAAAGTACAATGCAAACAGTTCCTACTGCACTTTGAAGACTATTTTCCTTCCATCTTTTCCCCATCCTGGCTTCCCTATTAAAAATAAGATTAAAATACTTTTATGTGTGCAGTACTCCAAGCCAGTGATCATACCTTAAAGCATCTTACTGGGAGCTGAAATTTATCTTCTAAATGTTACCAGAATGAGATTAGTGCTGAATAGTCTTTTGGATTCAGGAATCAGCCTCATCTAAACAAGGCTGGAAGTCAGGATTTTCCTTTTTTGCTTGTATGCAAGCATGGGATGTGTTTGTTCAGAGCAGTGTGATCCAGGAAAGTAAGCTTGGAAATGTGAGCCACACACAGATCTGTTCTTCACCTGGAAAATCACATGTCTTCCTTATTTATTTTTTTTTTTAAGAGAATGGAATGTGGAGATGAGCTGCTGGGAGGAGAGTGAGAGTTGGGCCAATTGGTAAAAGTCTTGCCATGAACATGGTTGTGTTTCAGTTGACCTTCATTGTGAGCAGACAGTGTGTGGGTGGTGTCAGCTTTGTATTCTGACTTGTCCTAATAGCCAGTAATCTGATTGCACTCAGGTTGACATTGTGGACATCTATGAGTCTATCCGTGAACGGCAGCGTCATGACAGCGAAAGGTCCACCTGCAGCACCTTGGAGCAGAACGACATTGAAGCTGTTGAAGCCCTTGTTTGTATGAGCTCCTGGGGTCAAAGATTGCAGAAAGGTGACATATTAAAGATAAGGCCCCTCACGCCCTTCTCGGATTCTGGGGATTTCACAATGCACGCCGAGGCTACGGCTGAATTACCAAAGGACTATCTATCGACACTGGTAAGAAAAGCATGAACACAAAATAAATATGCCCTACACCTGGATGTCACAACCCTGCAATGCTTTAACTTGGCTGGAAAAGACAGGCTTGCTCAGGTGTCCCTTTGTCACAGCCTGTGTTGTGTGTGTGCGCGCACAGAGTAGTGAGGTGAGCCTGTTGAGTTTGTTTTTTTGCTTTCTCTGGTTTAGCAAACATAGAGGCTTTTGTTAAATTTAGGTGTGAAAGCCCTTGCTGACAAGTTATTGGATATGACAGGGATGTCAAGATGACTGTTGTAGGTTTCTTGGAGCACTTTGAGTAAGAATGGCAGAGTGAGCTTTGGTGATTTGGCATCAAATTATCTGCAAGCATTGTATAAAAAAAGGCCCCAGACAACATTATACTTCACTGGTCATAAGAGAAAGTACACATTACCATTATGAAATAGGTAGTTTAATTAGTTTCTGTACTATGTGTTTGTACATGTAGTCTGTTATTTCTCCAGACATTGGTCTACTTCAGCTGACTAATGTTGGTTGAATCCAAATTTTTTTCTTTTGTTTCAATTTATGTTGCAACAAAAGTAGGTATTAAAAAAGGGCTTGGTGCCATTAAGGTTTTAGATGGTTAAGGCCCATTTCATTCAGTACGCTTCTAGTATGCAGTTGCCAGGACAGATGGGAATAATAGAGGAAAGAGGCTGAGATAAGGGCAGCCTGACAAGCAGCTGCCATAGTATCTCCTGCTGCTCAGTGTTGACACTCCTGAGCAGCACAGGAGATATTTTTCACTGGTATAGGAGGAAGGAGAGGTGATGCAGGGAATCAGCATAGAGAAAAATGGATGAATAAGAAGGGACAGAACAGTTTTATTTGTCTTTATCTAAAAAGGAGCCATGAGATGATGAAGTAACCATTGAGAAAAAGTCTAGGGCTTGCTGGGAGCTTGAAATGGAAAGTTAGGGTATTGCTATCTATTGTTGGTCTGTTTATTCCGCTTATAGCCTCTTACAGCTGTGCCCATACTGAGGAGAAAGAAATGAAATACTTTTTTTTGTGGTTCAGTGAGTATACTTGCAGTGTTTATGCAGGTTTACAGCTGCCTCATTGCCTTCCTTTTATTAATATGCTTTTGAGCACAATCAGAATGGCCATGAGATAAGGCAATGTAGTGTCATGGTGCTGGCTAGGATAAAGTTAATTTTCTTCCTAGTAGTTGTGATTTAGAATGAGAATAATGCTGGTGACACACTGATGTTCTAGTTGTTGCTGAGCAGTGCTTACCCCAGGTCAAGGACTTTTCAAATTCCCATGCTCTGCCAGTGAGGAGGTGCACAGGAAGCTGGGAAGTAGCATAGCCAGGGCAGGTGATCTGAGCTGGCCAGAGGGATATTCCATACCATAGAGTGTCATGCCCAGCATAAAAACTGGAATGACCAGTGATGTTGGGAAGGACCTGGGCACTGGTCAATGGGTGGTGAGCAATTGTAGCGTGCACCACTTGTTTCTCTTGGGTTTTACTGCTCTCCCTCTTTTTGGTCTCTCCCTGTAATAATAATTACAATTGTTGTTACTGTATTTTACTTTATTTCAATTATTAACTTGTTCTTATGTCAACACGTGGATTTTATCTTTCTGATTCTCCTCCATGACGGATCTGACCAGACCGTGTTGAAACAAATTTGTTACCAGGATTAATCTTATTAGTTTATTAGCTGTTGATCACAGTGTTGAATTATTTGCTATCAGAGTTATTGTGTTATGTAACAATTTACTTGCTGTAGTGTTGTGGTATCATCTCTGGGGTCTGGGCTAAGCTTATCATTTTATTGTACTTCGTAACACTGGATTATGATAGCACAGAACTGCTGGCCTTGAAACTGATCTGATTTTCATACTCTCAGCCCCTCTGCCACCACCTTTGTACTTGGGGAATCATTTATTAGAAACTGCAAATAGTGACTGCATTTGCCTTTTTTGCCTAGGAGAGCCAGCCTGCATGGAAGACACACATAATGTTCTTTTTCTCCAGGCATGGGAATTTTGGAAATTTTTAATATCCTGAAACCAGCACGGTCTGTGAATGACCAGGAACTGTGAATGTGGTTAAGGTCTTGTTTAAGGTTAAGCAACTGTTTATGGCTTCCCAGACCCTGGCATCATGACTACGTGTGACTACTCAGACCCCAGCAAGGGATGATGCAGCTGAGTCAGAGGATGAGCATGTACCATTATCAGCTGTTCTCATACACAAGAAGAAATGTCCATGAAAGCTCGTTTAGTAAAGGAGGATGAAGCAGGACCATGACAAAAACTGAATGGAGGAAGAGGCAGGACGAGAGATAACCACTCAATCCCTATCCCTTAGGGATCTGTGGGACATGTGAAGAGGTTTCAGCTGCTGTGCAGGTGTACACGTTATCACCTGGCTGCTCCAGTGGGGTTAGTAGCCTGGATAAGGAGATAGGGAAGCCAAGCAGTTGGGATGACTTCCTAGGGAAGACAGCATTGATGAGGTGATTGGAAAAATGACACAAGTCTTCAGCCTCTGGAGGCAGCTCGGTCAAGTGTGAAGGAAAGGTATATCTTCAGGAAAGAAATTATGTCACCTGGGCAGGTGGGCTACTGTGGAGAGAGATATCTGGTACCTGAGGTAATTAGCTGTACCAGAGGGGGTTTATTAGGACATGAGCAAGGCACAGTCACCCACAGATCCAGACAAAGCCAGTGTGCCCAACCCACATGGCAAAAATTTGAACCATTTCAATGAAATATAACAGAAAAACTAGGTTGGAAGAGATTTCCAAGATCATCGAGTCCAACCCCTGCCCTAACACCACAACTAGACTTTGGCACCGAGTGCCACATCCGGTCTGTTTTTAAACACATCCAGGGATGGTGACTCCACCACCTCCCCAGACAGACCATTCCAGTCCATTTGCCATGGACTGATCCAGTTCCAGAACACTTGCAATATATTGATGATACCATTGTGGCCAGTACAGCAGCAGAAGATTTTGAGAAGGGGAAGAAAACAGTACAGATATCTCTGAAAGCTGCCGGAAAACAAAGTAAGGTCCAGGAGCCTGCACAAGAGATCCAGTTTTTAAGAGTAAAATAGCAAGGTGGATGCCATCAGATCCCAATGGATTTGATTAGCAAAATAACAGCTATGTTTCTACCAACTAGTAAGAAAAACATAAGCTTTCTTAGGCATTGTGGGATTTGGGAGAATGCACATTCCAAATTACAGTCTGATTGTCAGCCTTCTCTGTCAAGTGACCCAGAAGAAGAATGATTTCAAATGGGGCCCTGAACAACAACAAGCCTTTGAACAAATTAAACAGGAGATAATTCATGCAGAAAATTAACTCTGCCCCAGCCCTTGGGCCAGTCCAGGCAGGACAAGATATAAAAAATGTGCTCTGTACACTGCAGCCAATGAAAATGGCCCTACCTGGAACCTCTGACAGAAAGCACCAGGGGAGAATTGGGTCAACCTCTAGGGCTTTGGAGTGGAGGGTACAGAGGGTCCAAAGCCCACTGTATTCCAGCTGTAAAAGAGGTATTGGCAGCTTACAGAGAGGTTGCAGCTGCTTTGGGAGTGACTGGTCTGAAGCACAGGTCCCCTGGCATCCTGATTTCTGGGGCTGGGCTGGATGTGCAGAGGATGGGTCTCCTACACATCACGTAGCTGATGCTGTGTGGAATCAGCGGGTCTTGCTGGTCACACTAGGTGCTCAAATAGGAAACCTCAGTCGTCACAATTACTTTCAAGACTCCTGGAATTAACAAGAGAGCAGATTGCTGGGATGCCACCTGACGAGAAGATGACATGCTGAAGAGACTATTATATAAGTTACCAAAAATTAGAAACAATATGCCATGTTTGATGATTCCTGCTGTATTGTAGGAAAGCATTGAAGATGGAAAGTGGCTGTGTGGCATATCCTACAAAATTACAAAAACTGCTGAAGGAGAAGGTAAATTGAGTTGTGGAGGTGAAAATTTGCTTTAGACACTGCTGAACTAGAAAAACAGCCAATGCTTTATCTCTGTACTGATTCATGGGTGGTGGCAAATGCCCTGTGGTGGTGGTTGCAGAGATGGAAGCAGAGCAGAGGTAAACGCATCTGGGCTGCTGCCATGTGGCAAGATACTGCTGCCTGGGAGGAGACCCTGGTTGTGAAGGTATGTCACATGGATGCTCATGTACCCAAGAGTTGGGCCACCAAGGAACATCAGAACAACCAACAGGTGGATGAGGCTCCTAAGATTGAAGTGGCTCAGGCAGATCTGGATTGGCAAGATTCACAAGAGTGAATTATTTACTGCTTGGTGAGCCCATGACATCTGAGGCCATCAAGGAAGAAATGCAACATGTAGATGGGGTGATGATCGAGGGGTGCACTTGACCATGGACACTACTGTAGGGCTATCCATAGTTGTGAAACATACACTTCAGTTGTTTGAGCTGAGCAGTTAAAGCCTCTTTGGTTTGGAGGACAATGGCTGAAATATAAATATGGGGACACCTGGCAGATGGACTCCCACAAACCCACCAAGGCAAGCACCGTGTGCTTATGATGGTGGAAGTAACCACTGGATAACTGGAAACCTATTCCATGCCCAATGCCACTGCCTGGAACACTGTCCTGGGCCTTGGAAAGCAAGTCTTATGGCAGCATGGCACCCCAGAAAGAATTGAGCCAGACAAGGGGACTCATCTCCAAAACAACCTCACAGACACCTGGGCTGAAGAGCATGGCACTGTGTGGGTTTATCACCTGCCCTATCATGTGCCAGTCTCCAGGAAAATTGAATGATGGAACAGACTGTTACCGAGAGCAGTAGGTGGTGGGACCTTTGAACAATGGGATCCACATTTAGCAAAGGCCACCTGGGCAGTCAGCACTAGAGGATCTGCCAGCTGGGCCAGCTGTGCTCAAGCAAAACTTGTACATAGTGTAGAAGGGAGTAAAGTCCCTGTAGTGCACACGGAAAAGCTTCTGGGGAAAACAATCTGAGTTATTCCTGCATCAGGCAAAGACAAAACCATCCACGGGATTGCTTTTGATCAAGGAGCTGGGTGCACTTGGTGGGGAATGTGGGAGGATAGGGAAGTCCAAAGTTTGCTTCCAGGGGATCTGGTTCTGTGTGAGAATAGCCACAGTTGGGTTGTATGGTTGTTAATTGCCATTAACACTCATGTCACCACTGTTGAGCTGGCTACATGCAACATCAAGGGTATTGCAGTAGGAATCACCCAGATTAATGAAGAACAAACTGATGAAACTGAACAAACACAGCAGTGATGGAATGAGAACTGACTTCAGTAGGCAGCAATCCAACATGAGAGACACCACCTCTCCTGCCCTGAAGAACTGCTATGAATTGGAACCCAAAGCGATGCATGAATGAACTTAACAGATGTTTCAGAGGGATGGCAGTAGTCTAAGGGAATGATACCTCTATCAAAAGAGAGGAAAAATAATGATGGTTAATTGGGATATATTGAAAAAGTGTGGGCATGATGTAAATGGCATAGAATATGGGGTTGATATTGTCCTGTCTTCAGCTGGTATAGAGTTAATTTTCATCCTAGTAGTGTCGTTCTTTCTAGCCGTTCCCAATCGGAGTGACATCGTAGCTGGTACAGTACTGTGTTTGGGATTTAAAATGAGAATAACGTTGATAACACACTGATGTTTTAGAGTAAGCACTGCTCAGCAACAGTTAAGTCAAGGACTTCTCAGTATCTCCTGCTGTGCCAGTGAGGAGGAGAAGCTGTGAGAGAGCATGGCTAGAACACTACTGACCAAACTGGCCAAAGGGATATTCCAGACTATAGAGCATCGTGTTCAGTGTATAAACTGGGGGGAGTTGACCAGAAGGGGCCAATCACTGCTTGGGGTCAGGCCAGGTGGGTGGTGAACAGGTGTACTGTGCATTATTTGTTTCTCTTGGGCCTTATTTCTCGCTATTTTTTTCTGCCTTTTTATTACAATTAATATTTTTATTATTGTATTTTCCTGTATTTGTATTATTAACTTGTTCTTATCTCAGTCCATAGGTTTTAGCTTTTTCTGATTCTCCTTCCCATCTATCTGGGGATGGAGGATGAGTGATCTTCATGGGATTTGGTTGCCATCTGGGATTAAACCACAGCAGTTTGCTTTATTCAGTTTGTCCTGAGAGGTGCATTCTGAGGTGCTGGGAGAGGAAATGTAATTTTATTTTTCAGAGTAAAGATAGGGGAAAACTATGCTATGGAATTACACTGATCCACAGTGGTGTGGGTTTTCTTTGCAGTGCATGACTCCTCCGCACAGCCCTGACTTGGTTGAGATGTCGGCAGCTACGCTCCTGTCCTCGCAAGTCACTTACTCCAAACCAAGGACTGTCATGGCAAACACAGCTGCCTGCTCAGTCACATCAGTGACCGGTGCCTCCCCCATAACCAAGCCATCTGTTCCCAGCGTGGGGCAGCAGTGCAGTCAGAAGCCAGTGATCTCTGAATCCTCTGCACCTCAGCCTTGCAGGGCCATGGCAACAAGCGTCATACGTCACACAGGTGATAGTTCTGCTTACCATCACATTCCTGCTGTGCAAGAGAAAACAAAGGTAACTTCAGGCTACAGCACTTCCAGAGACTGGTGTGGAGCGGATGACCGAAAACATTCCAGACTGCCACAGGACACGTGTGCTGTGGATGATTCAGTCAACAAAACCTCTCCAGGACATCAGCCGTGTGCACATGACTCCAGTGATATTGTGACCAATAAAGGGCAACTACCAGTCCGGCCTGTTTCACCGCAAACCCACTTACCAAAGAATTGTGACAATGACTTGCAAAAAAGAGCTACCCCAGTGACACTTGCCTCTGTCTCAAGCCCCCAGGTTCTCTGTCAAATGATCCCTTTAAATGGACAAAGCAGCATGATCAATGCCTATGTCAAGCCTTCAACTCCAGCACTCCCGACTCCCATGAAACCTATTTTACCGCAGACAGCCCCACTCTCCCAGCCTGTGCTCATGGGACCTTCTGTGCCTCAGGGGACTGTCATGTTGGTTCTTCCTCAGCCCGCTGTCACACAGACACCGCAGTGCCCACAGACCGTGGTGACTGTTGGCAGCACCAAGTTACTGCCCCTCGCCCCTGCTCCCGTGTTCATCGCTTCTGGTCAGACCTGCGCCCCCCAGATGGACTTCTCCAGACGGAGGAATTACATTTGTGACTTCCCGGGGTGCAAGAAAACCTATTTCAAAAGTTCCCACCTCAAAGCCCACCTTCGCACCCACACCGGTGCGTACAAGGGGGCTCTGGCGCTGGCTGGTGTTGGGGGGGTGCTGAAATGCACGTTTTTTGTGGGAGGTGGGTGGGAAAGGGAAGAAGCAGGTGATGGGGAAGCTTCTGCTCATCTCGGGGATGGAAGGAATGTTCATGCTCCATGGACAAGCAAAACAAGACATACTTTGTTCTGAGACCTCAGCTGACCCTGTAGTGTTAGTTGAATTTCACAGGCATTAGTTGGAGTGAAGCTTTGCCATCCGTGTGCCTGTGTTTAGGTCTAAGTGGAATCCTGCCATCTGGACTAGATTGAAATGAATTGTGCAAGTCCCTTGTTTTGGAGCACAGGGAGGTCTGGTGTAAGCAAAACAAAGTACAGGTAGTTTGTCTTAATTGTTACGTGAGTAAAAGAAGAGAGACATTCAGAAACTGCTTTTTTGTTTTTATTCTCCCAGAGTTTTGTTTAGGCTAAATGGGAATGCATTGAGATTTTGGGCTGCTGTGTTAGGAAGCAGAGCTCCTACAGGAATGTAACGGTTTCTTCAGTTACAGGAGGGGAATTTTAGAGATAAATGAAAATTAATTGTAATTAACATAAACTGATTTGCTCCATAAATTGGGTCAGCGTGGAAACAGTCTACATATGTTTTACTTACCCTTTTCCTAGTTCTGGGAGCTTGTTAAATTAGAAATAACTTTGAGTTCTCAGGGATTATTTTTGATGTTAAAGGATAGGCATTGTGAAAAATTGGTATTGGAATTGGATTCTGTCTATTTTTGGTTTTCCTTGACTTTTTTTCCCCTACCTGCTGTTAACCCACAGTCACTGGTTTATTGGATGTCAGTTTGCGTGACAGGATTTGCATTAGTTTGGCAGCTTGTCTTCACTGTTCCTTTGGGGAAGGAGCTTAACCTCTACATGAAGCTGATAATTCTTGTAAATCATAGTTCAGAGGTAGAATGGTGGTTCTGTTTCTGGCTTGAGAGGCTGCTGAATTAAACCCAGTGCTCCAGGATAAACAGACTATCAGCAAGGGGCTTGCTTTGTGTTGATCCATAGGGAGCCTGTGTGTGTGTGTGTGTGTGTGTGTGTGTACCCCTGTATCGTGATTAAGACATCAATGGCAGGTGAAACACACTGACCCCTCACTAGCCAGTTCCCATTACAGGATCAGGAGGAAGAGTAGTTCAGCTTGCTTTCTTTTTTTGCCTTTTCCCTGCATACCGACTGTCTGGATGATGGCGCATCCAGCAGACACAGACTTCACTCTCTGTACTTGTAAGAACGCTCCTGTGGGGCTTCCTTTCTGCAGGTCCTTTCTCTTCTGCTCCAACGTGTCCCCATAACTTTGGGCCACGTGGTAGATGTTTATCTGGAGCTCTGTGGGAGTTGCTCAGTAGCTGCAGTTGTGGTTGTTGAGGACAGGTGGGATGTTCAGCATGGCCCACGATGAGCAGTAGCTGACGTGGGCAGCCTTGCTGACTGCTGCCATTCCTGGTCTGTGCGGGGCTGGCAGGGCAGGCTTTGCCTCGGCAGTGCTCGCTGGTGTGTGTTTGTGTGGGGCTCTGGATCACGGGAGCAGCAGGACCCCGAGGCTCCGTTCCAGGCTTCCTGTTTGCCCACAGTATTTTTGGATGACATGGTGCAGCCAGAGAGATGCACATACACGGGGATGGCGGCAGGGGCTTGCTTCTAGTTCAGTCAGTGGATGGAGGCAGCTTTATGAAGGCTCTATTTCTTTAAACTGGAATTTTGGACAACTGAAAAACCAGACTTGATTAAAGAACACTTAAAGAGAGATACAAGGAAATAAGTAGAAATGATACACCTATTATTTTTCTCTGGAACAGAACTTTAGCGTAATCCTATGTTGACCGCACAAATGAGCAGTTCTGTGGAATTCACTGGTTTCTGCAAGGCAGATTTTATAAGTTAGTTATTTTATGATAAGACTGCAGCACAGCTTCTCAAAAGTGACATATGCTTCCTTTATGTCCTGCAGGAGAAAAACCTTTCAGCTGCAACTGGGACGGCTGTGACAAGAAGTTTGCCCGCTCGGATGAACTGTCACGGCACCGCAGGACGCACACGGGGGAGAAGAAGTTCTCTTGTCCGGTGTGCGAGCGCCGCTTCATGCGCAGCGATCACCTGACGAAGCACACCCGCCGCCACATGACCACCAAGAAGACTCCCAGCTGGCAGACAGAGGTTGGCAAACTCAGCAGAATTGCCACAGCAGAGAAACCCAAGAGCAGCAGCGCTCTGAGTATGCTCGTCCCCGTGCCATCACCTGTCTGCCAGGGCTAGAGTGAAGAAGCACCTTCCCTGCAAACTTTCTGAAGATCAGGAAGAGCTCCGATGGCAACAGCAGAATGGGCAATGGCTTTTGTTTTCCCCGTGTTTGTGTGTACTTTAGTTTCCTGCAGCTTAGGTCCTCTGTTGATAGTGCTATGTGAGAAATCTATCGTATTTCCTCGTCCCTTCCCTGTTTGTTTTTTTTCAGTACTTGGGCAATTGCAATCACCAGCACTTCAGGAAAGTATAACTCCTTGGAAATTATTTTGGCAATAGGTTAAAAAGAGTTACTTGTAATGCTTGCTGTTAATATTTTGATGGACAGTAAAACAGGGTGGTTTTTAATTTTTATAGTACTATTTTCTATACCAAATATATTTTGTATTTGTTCATTTTGGTCTTGTTATGCAGGCAAATTACTTGCATTAGTAGGGCTGTGCTGGATGAGACCCAGAGTTTTGGAAACTCTTTTCAGTAAACCTAAACTATTGCATTCAGAGTGTTTTGTAAACACTTACTGTTTGATAACTCACATTGGTTGGTGTTTTCACACTTGCAAATACTGATCCTGCAATGGGCTAGTGCTCTTACACCCTCCTTATGCAGGTACATTGGAAATCGAAGTGACTCAGTCATTTTTAAAACAAAACAAACCAAATGACCTTATTTGAGAATACAAGTGCTGAAATCCTCAACATTTTATGAATTCATACCCTTTGCAAGTAGAAGCCAATGTGGCTGTTGGTAGAAGCATTCCCAGGTCCACACTCCACTGGAGCAAAGTTTGGAGGAGCCAGACCGCTCTGATGGAGGTAAAAGCACAAACACTACAAATTATGCTTTATTTTTGGTCCTCCTAAACCGACATATCAAAATAAACTGAAAAATGCAAAAATGGCAAGATAGCCCATGAAAAATTAGTGGGTCTCTCTTTATATTTTTTTGAGTAGAGGAGAAATAAAAAAGGTTTTTTTTTGTATTGTGGATGCTCGTGCACCTTATAGGAAATTGTTCGAGGCTTTCTTTTATCTGTTATCAATGCACCAGAGGAAGTACTAACTGTGTCTTGAGTTAAGAAATAGCCACCATGTCAACTTGATGATGCTCTTCATGTGGCCTTATACTTCTCCACAGTACTTTGTATAAAATCACCCTTTTCTATTAAACAATACACTCTCCCTGTTGAATGGGTTTTCTTTTACACAAGGTGTAGTGATAGTTAAGAAATGGAGCCAGTGGCTGCAGGAGTGCTGTGTTGTAATGGCATGGTGTCAGTAACAAAGTGCCCAAAGTAGCACAACGGGACTGCTCCACTCCCCTGGCACGGGAGGAGTGTGTATGTACTGTAGCAGAGCTGACACTAGAGCAAAGCACCAGGTGTTTTGCTGGGAGACAGCTCCCCTCCTGAATTAAATATTTCTGGGGTGCTTATTCCTTCTGGGCTCTTTTCCCTTCAGCCATTCCTTCACTGAAGCTTAGCTGAGCCTTGAGGATTCTTTTTCCTATATGTGTCAGCTGTGGATAACTAGGAATGCAGTCTGTCTTTTACTGCTTTGTTCTGAAATGCTGGTCTTGCTTCCCAGTGTGGGCAAAGCATGGATCTCATCTATGTAAGTGCTGACTTGCTGACCTCAACTGGCCGAGGAAATCGGCAGAGACCTGCTTCAGTTAAAGCAGATTGTCATTATTTTTTACACTAAAGTCTATAGCTATAATTAACAGTAGTAAGTTTTCAAACTGCACTAAATTGGAGTATTGTGGTAAGTGTACTGAAGTTTTTGTGCCTGACCTTATGAAGGCCCACACCCTGTTCACTGACACGTGCTGTAATCCCACTGACTCCAGTGTCCTGTGCCGGTGAGCGTGTGTGTGAACCTTGCTTTGGACTCTCTAAAGGGCTTGCTTGGAACCTTTTCCTGGTGAAGTGCATCCTTGTGGTGTTGCTGTTCTCTGTTGCTACCCAGTTTTCCAAGTTTCTGTGGTGAACAAAGAGATGTTGCTGATCTTGTTTTGTTCTGTTTTGTTTTTCTCAGAAATCCCTTAGAACTAGAAGTCTGGCTTTTGGATGCTATTTTTGCATGCTTTGAACCAGGGGAAGCATGTCCTGTCTCAGTTTATTAGCTGGTTTAGCACTTCATTTTTTTACTGACTGACCATTTATGGTGCTCACCTGAGAAAACAGTTTGGAAACTCGTGTCATAATTATATAAATTGTCATGTTTGTTGCATTACGGGGAGGACAACGGTGGACTGGAGAGTACAGACTTTAAAAGTGTGTCATGTGTGTGTGTCACGATGTGGAAAAGCAACTGCTTCCTTCTTGTCTGGGTGTACCTGGCCTACAATTCCTGGCAGCCTGTTCTGGGATGTGTGGCTCATTCTCTTGTGGATGTGCGTGAATAGCTGTGCCGCGGTGTGGCTGTGTCTGCTCTGTCTGTTCCTTCCTGCTGTGTAAGGGTTATTTATGGATTAAGCATGACTGGCATAGCTGCTGTCTTTGCACTTTACTGCCTGAACTCTACTGTTCAGTCTTTTTATTTTGAGCCTATATTTTAAGGAAATGGAACTGCATTTTTGTACATGTTTTTAACTTTTATTAAATAAAATGTATGTAACGTGACTGGTTTTTAGTTATAAAAAAAAAAAATCATGGATTTTCAGGTTTCATAGGTATCCATTCCAGAACTATGTAAATCCTTCAGGATTAGGTTGTGTGTCTAGGGCAGTGGAAGACTTTGGGGTTTGCTAATCCACTTACTTGTGAAGGCAGGATTTTTTGGATCCTGTTGTAAATTGATCAGTGCTAACCTGTTTATGATTTTACACCGCTTGTCTCATGTTTTTGGTAAAAGGTGCACACCCCCACCAGGCCTTGGGGCTTCTCTCTGCTCTCTGGGAGCAAGTGCTCCCAGCTCCACACCACTTCCAGCCCGCCCTCCAGCAGCTGTGAGCAGAAGGGATGTGCTGGGTGCTGCCAGCATCACAAGCTGTTCATGGAGTGAGTGCTAGAAATAAGGCAGAGACAAGAATTTAACTCAAAAGGTGGCTGTGCTAGCCACAGTTCTTCCTGCTGGTGGGGAAGTGGCTCTGGCAGGCTGGGTGTTACCTTCCAGTTTCAGCTGGGAAGGAGGTGTTCAGTGATGGTGACAGCAGTAGCAACTACCTACATTTTTATGTAGGTAAGGCTTCCTTGTATGCTCTTTCCCTCTGCTGTTTCCCTCTGACCATTTCCTGAACTGCAGGAATGTTTATTTCCAGCAGAAAGGGAGAAGGTGTAATGAGTCCAGCTTTTTGTCACAGCCTTGCACTGCAAGGTGGCTCAGTGTCTGCAGGCAGAGCCCTCAGGGAGTCATTCAAGGCTTTGTCCACAGAAGAGCACATCGTTCTTGCAAGTGTGAGGAAGGGGAAAAGAGATCTCATGGATGGTTCTGCTTCCCTCTCAGGAGGACAGCTGGAAGGGAAAGCTTAGGTGCAGGTTTAATGCTCTGGCAGAACAGCACAAACTTTGGCCCCTGGGCTCTGCAGGTTGCCACAATGCGTTTGTCTCCCAGGGGATGATGTCCTACCTGTCCCTACTACTATTTTCCAAGAAGGACTTTCCTGAACATCCAGTTATATTCCCAAGAATACTTGTTTTGGCTTTTTTTTTTCTGATTGTTATTTTGTTTCCCTGGCTTTGTTTATGTGAAACATGACAATGGATTTCACAGTCTGTGCTCACCTTTGTGCTTTTCCTTAGACCCAAGATGTGGCTGAGATGTTCTGTGCTGCCAGGACGTGCACTCAGTCCACATCCTAATGGGGCTGGAGTCTGGAACAGCTTCATCCAGTGAGAGGAAACAGCCTGCATACAAGGAAGCCTTCCCAGCTACCCCTTTACTGACACAAGCATTGTTGAGGGCAAGCCTTTCTGTCTGGAAGCCATTCTAAATCCACGAAATGGAATAATTTATAAAGGACAATGGATTTGTGGTCAAGCATGACTATTGGCTTAATGCTTCATCTTGCAGCCCGAGTGGCACTGCTCGTTACACACACCACCCCATGTGGTTGTACAGCCAAACCGTGGGCTGAGCACCAGCTGGAGTTGTCCTGCAAACCAAAGAGCACTGATCCTCTTCAAGTGTGGGCATTGGAAGAGTGAATCCATTCTGATGCTGCCCAGGTGGCCCGTGCTGAGGGGTGGTTGCACACTTGGTGTGCTCTTCCAGCTGAGGCCACAGCTCTGGCTAACTTTCCCTTTCCAGCTGTGAAAGCTGAACTCAACATCCTTCATCTGTCATCTCATGAGCTGAGTCCTGCCCCAGGGTTGCCTCTGGCTTGAGTTCATCTGCAGGGATAAATCTGACCGGTTTTGAAGTTTAATCTGTGAGCCCATCTGCCTGTTTACCTTCCATTCACGTCTGGCAAGGCAGCTTGGGGCAGGCAGGCTCTGGCTGTGAGAAGGCAAATTGCTTCCACGTCTGCAGCAAGAGTAAATCATGACTCAAAACCCAGCAACCTGCAGGCTGAGGAAATGGTGAGACAGTCCAGGGAGGAGGAAGCTGCAAAGCCTCAGCCACATCTCACAGTCCAGGCTGTCCTGAAATCCTCTGTCAAATGCAGCCTTTCCCACTGTCTGTTTCAGCCTTCAGATGTAGAAGGAAATTGATAACTTTTATGTGCTAATGTGTACAGGAGGCAATGGGCACATCTTAAAACGTGCATAAAACTTGGGGAAGCTGGAGCATACCCTTTCTTGGGAGAATTTGTCCCAGATGGGAAGAATACCTTAGGTTTAATTGTCTCTCTTGTAGCATCTCCTGCGTTCAGAGTAACTTCTTTTCTATTGCTTATCACTGCCCACATTAATTCACTTCACTCTGTGCAAATAATTGCCATGTCCTGTGTCCAGAGTGAGGTGAGGGGAACCCTGGATGTGGTCTGTGCCAGGCAGCAGGCAAATGTGGTGGGCAGCTCCATGAGGTTCCTCTGGCACAGCTCCAGGCCAGGGTCGCTGCGCCCTCCTTGCT